AAGAGAACTATAGGTCAGTCTCCCTAATGAACATAGATGTAAAAATTCTCTATAAAATACTAGCTAATAGAATGCAACAAATTATCAAGAAGATAATACACCATGACCAAGTGGTATTCATCATAAAAACCCTGCAGAAAATTGGAATAGATGGACTTTACCTCACTCTGATAAAAGCCATCTATGACAAACCAGTAGCTAACATCATACTAAATGGACAAAAACTGAAAGATTTCATTTTAAAATCAGGAAGAAGACAGCAGTGTCCACTGTCACCACTCCTATTCAATATAGTGCTGGAAACATTAGCCAGAGCAATCAGATGAGAGAGAAATAAAAGGAATAAGGATAGGAAAGGAAGAAGTGAAATGATCATTATTCACAGATAACATGATCTACATGGAAGAACTCAAAAATTCCACCAAGATTCCTAGAATTAATAAACAAATTCAGTAGTGTGGCTGGATACAAATTGAACACTCAAAGATCAATAGCATTCCTATACGCAACAATAAACACACTGAGAGAAAAATTAGGGAAACCTTTCTTTTCATACTAGCATCCAAAAACTTGAAATACTTAGGAATCTATAAAAGAAAGTAAAAGGTCTGTACAGTGAAAATTACAGTACTTTGAAAAAAGAGGTTGAAAAGGATTTCATAAAATGGAAAGATATTCCTTGCTCATGCATAGGAAGAATCACCGTTGCGAAAATGGCCATATTCCCAAATTATTGTACAGATTCAACACAATCCTGATCAAATAACATTATTATACCTCATAGATATAGAGAAAACATTCCTAAAATTCATCTGGAATCAGAAGAGACCCAGAATAGCAAAAGCAATCCTGGGTAACAAAGGTAAGGCAGGAGGCATCACAACCCCTGACTTGAAATTATACTACAAAGCTAATGTGATAAAAATTAGCATGGTATTGGCAAAAAAATAGACCTGAGGATCAATGGAACAGAGCAGAAGATGCAGCCATGTCCCCAAACACTCTCACCCACCTTATCTTTGACAAAGGGGCCAAACATGTTCACTGGAAGAAAGATAGCCTCTTTAATAAATGGTGTTGGAAAAACTGGCTTTTCACATGCCAAAGACTGAAACTAGACCCATGTGTATCACCATGCACCAGACTAAAGTCAAAATGAACTAAACATCTAAACATTAAAATAGAAACACTAAATCTACTGGGAGAGAAATTAGGTAGAAATCTTGAAGACAGGTAGGGAGAGAGTTCATGAACAAAAACCAAACTGCATGGGAAATATTTCAAAGTATCAACAACTGGGATCTCATCTTATTGAAAAGATTTTGCACATCAAAAGAAATCACCAAGAGAGTGAAAAGAAAACCCACGAATTGGGAAAAAAATTTAGCCAACTGTCCCTCAGATTTCTATCTAGAACATATAAAGAATTTTAAAAAATCAGGGCCCCCAAATTCAAAGACCTAATCCAAAAAGGGGCATCTGAGATAAATACATACTTCTTGGATAAAGAAACACAAATGGCAAATAAATCCATGAGGAAATGTTCAACATCACTAGTCATTCAAGAAATGTGAATGAAAATAACACTAAAATTCCATCTCACTCCAGAAAGAATGACTATTATCAAGAAACCAACCAGTAACAAATGCTGGAGAGGTTGTGGGGAAAAAGGAATCTTTCTCCACTGTTGGTGGAAGTGTATGTAGCCTGGTACTACCACTGTGGAAGTTAGTGTGGAGATTGCTCACAAAAGTAGGATTAGAGGTTCCATTCAACCCAGCTATTCCCCTTCTGGGTATTTTTCTAGAAGAACTGAAAACATCATACCACAGCAGTACATGTGCACCCATGTTTATAGCAGTGCAGTTTGTCATAGCTAAATCTTGAAAACAGCCCAAATCCATCCACTGAGGAATGGATAAAAAGGTGGTATTTTTATACAATGTAGTATTACTCAGCTATAAAGGAAGATAAACTAGAGGCTTTTATAGGTAAATGGATGCAACTAGAGACCATACTGATAAGTGAAATAAATCAGATTCTCATATATAAATACCATATTGCCTCCCTAGTGTAAGAACCTGAAAGAATAAATAAAATCTGAAAGGTACAATAGATATTGTGAAAGGGAAAGAAACTGCTCAAAAGGAAAAAACAACTGGGATGATGGAAAAGAGAAAAGAAAGAAGGAAGGGGGAAAATTTACATATATATATAAAATTATATATTATATATATTTATATATGGTATATATGATATAAATGTATATATTTGTATAAGGTAGCTAAGATAACTGTATTAATTTCTATTGGTTTATTGAAAGGAACAGGTAATGTTTAGTTGCTTGATCTATGTTACATGCCTATATCTGGTTATCTGAGTAACCAATTTGAAGATAATGGTATGTAATATAGCAAGCACTGTTAATTTTGTATCATTTTGTTTTTTTAATTCTGTATTGTTTTTATGTGGTTTTATTTATGTCTTTGTTATTTTGTTTTTTTTTTCTTTTCTCTTTAACATAAAAAAATAGAATTCAGCAAAACTTCTACTAAACACAGTTGTACAGTCATTACAGTAATCTGATTTTAGTAATTGTCCATCACTCTAAAAAGTCCCATTAAGCCTATTTGTGTCAATCTCTACTCTTCCCTTCTAGCTCTAGACAATGGCAATCTGCTTCTTGTTTCTACAAATTTGCTTTTCCCAGATGTTCCTTTTATGTACAACCATACATTGTAATTGTGTAGATCTTGTGATAGTTAGCTTATAAGTGTAAGCCTCCTTTGCTTGGGAACTGAATAGGGTATAAGTCTCGGTGGATCTTGATGCTTGACCCTCTGTCCCTGGTCCCTGATCCACCCCTCTCTGGTGCTGCCCTCCTTTGCTTCTATTTGCTATGAACTAAGCAGCTTGGCTCTGCTATGTCCTTCTGCCATGATGTTCCTGCCTTGGAACCAGATACCAGAGACTGAACTCCCTGAAACCATGAGCACAAATAAACCCTTATGTTTATTTAAGTTGTATATGTTGGGTATATGGTCCCCCCTATTAATCCCACCTGGTTAGTACAGATTTGGCTTCATTCATTTAGCAACATATTTTTGAGAGTGTTATCCATGTAGTAATGTATCAGTAGTTTGATGCTTTTTGTTTCTGAGTAGCTTTCAATTATATGGATATACCACATTTTATTTATCCATTTCCTAGTTGATGGATATTGGTATTATTTGCATTTTGGGTGTGAGTTGGATAATGTTGCCATGAACATTCATGGGCAAGTCTTTGTGAAGGTATATGTTTTCATTTTACTTGGGTGGATTCCTAGGAAATGGTATTGCTGAGTTATGTGGTATATTTATGTCTAATGTTTTGAGAAACTGTGACTATTTTCCATAGTGACTGTATCATGTTTTGTTTCTACTAGCAATGTATGAGATGCTAGTTTCTCTTCATCCTCATTAGCATGTGAAATTGACTCAATTGTAGCCACTCCAGGAGATGAGCAGTGGTATCTTATTGTGGTTTAATATGTGTATCCCTTTTAATTGAGGTTGTCTTTTTAATTGAGTTGTCATAGTTCTTTATATATGTGGGATATGTCTTTTATCGTATGCATGATTTATATTTTCTCCCCATATGTGCTTTGACTTATTTTCTTAAATCTTTTGAAGCACAAATTGTTTTTTAATTTTAAGAAGATCCAACTTACCAATTTATGATGTTGGTCACATATTGAAGATCTCTTTGACTAATTCATAATAACTAAGGTTTTCTTCTGTGTTTATTTGTAGACTTTTACAGGTTTAGTTCTTTTATTTAGGTCTATGAACATTCTAAGTTGAATTTTGGGTGTTCTTTTAGATATGGGTCCAAATCTCTTTCTTTTTTTATAATGTTATTATCAAATTGTCCTAGAATCTCTTGTTAAAAAGTCTTTTCTCTCATTTAGTTGTCTTGTAACTTTTATTGGAAAGCAGTTAACCATAAATCCAAGAGTTTTACTAGTCTTAATCTTGTGGTTTTTATTTGCATGTCTGTTCTTTTGCTAGTACCATATTGTTTTGATTACTATAACTCTATGACAAATTTTTAAATCACATATGTAAATTCACCATTCTTGTTCTTCTTTTTCAGTATCGTTTTGATTACTCGAGTTCTTTGCCTTTGCATGTATTTTAGAAGTTGTTTCAATATCTGCAGAAAGCATAGTGAGATTTTGATTGAAGTTATTCTAAATCTGTCAATCAATTTGGGGAAAATTGGCCCTTTAACAAGATTAGATATTCTAATTCATGAACATTGATTATTTTATTGATTTCTTTTATCACTGTTTTATATGTAGTTTTTAGCATATACACATTACACATTTTGTTAGACATATATACGCATTTAATTTTTGGTATGCTATTATAATGATACTTTAAAAATTCAGGTTATTTTTCATCTTGCATCACCATTTGTAATCTTTGCACAGATCCTACTGGTAACATTCTCTCATGTTGTTTTTTGTTTTGTTTTTGAATCTGGCCAGGTGTTGGATAGAGTCTTAGAGAACAAGTAATCACCATTTTTTCTTTATTTTTTCTGAAATATTGGGCATTGAGTCTAGGGTCCCGTGCATGCTAGGCAAGCCATTTACCTCTGAGATACCTCTCCAGTCCATTTAAAATTTTATTTTGAGACAGGGTTGTGTTCAACTGCCCAGGCTGCCTGGAGCTTGTGATTCTCCTGATTCATCTCCTGGAATAGTTGGGATTCCAGTCATGTGCCACCATATCTGGTTCAAATATTTCTAATTGCAGTTTCCAAGAGGTAAAAGGGTGGACCACTTTTATTATTTGACTCAGTGACTGTCAGCCATTGGTTAGTAAGACTCCCATGTCAGTTTTTCCCATTACAAGAGTAATGTGATCGTGTTAAACATGCACTCCTTTCTGAAAGGGTTTGGACTGTCAGGAAGAGGTGAGCACATGACGTCCATGTTCCTTCTTCTGTAGGTGTTGCAGTGTCCTTGGAAGTTTCAGAGAGCCCTGGGAGTATCCAGGTGGCCCGGGGCCAAACAGCAGTCCTGCCCTGCACTTTTTCTACCAGTGCTGCCCTCCTTAACCTCAACGTCATTTGGATGGTCATTCCTCTCTCCAATGCTAACCAACCTGAACAGGTACTTCTGTATCGTCCTATGCTGCCTCTGAAATAATCCTTTTATAAGAGGTGGGTAGGGAAGTATCCCGAGTACATTTTGGTTTCTAGGATAAGGTGGCATTTTTAGTATGTCTGTGCTGTGTTAAGTCCCCCTTTCTGTGTTACTGTCAATTGTCAGGAAAGGCTATCCTCTTTTCAAAAGGCTTTTATTATTATTATTATCACTATCATCATCATCATCACATGCCAAGGAGAGTCTTCTGAGAGTTTTATGCAGAAACCTAGCATTAAAAAAAAATTGCTGACAGGAAAATACTAACACAGAAAAATCAAGGTTTAGGGGCTGGGGATATAGCTCAGTGGCATAAGCACCCGCCTGGCAAGCACAAGGTCGAGAATTTGATCCCTGGTACCAGAAAAAAAAAAAAAAAAAAAAAAAATCAAGGTCTAATTTGTCCCTAAACAGGTGATGAGTGTGTACTTTTTAAAATTAATGGAAACAGGAATTAATGTTAGATAGTAGCACTTGGTGTTCTGAGTTAATTTTACAAGTATTTAAAGACAAGTAGGCACACTAGGCAAGTCAGAGTGTCATTTATGTTAGGGGGGACCACACAAAAGAATGCACGTGAAAATGGAAGCTAATCTCCAGTAAACTGTGTCATAGAAGCTAATCTCCAGTAAACTGTGTCACATTCTCAGGAATGAAGTACATTCCCACCCCAAAGGGCTTTTTGTCACATACCATTCTGATCACTCCCCCAAGAATACTTAACCTTGGTACTAGAAATTGACATAAGAATAACAATCATGGACTTAAAGCTCTGCTTCTTTTTATGACGTTTATGTATATTCAGTCTGTAACTCTAATGTACCATTTTGTAGCCTAGTAGTCATGACAATGGCAATGCTAATATTTTTTAAACTTTCAATTTTGTAATTAACTTCTTGAATTGGTAAAATATTTATAGGTTGATGTAGGGTATCCGTACACACTTTCATGTTCTGATGAGTTAGATAAGGGAAAATTGTTATTCTGATTTGGTGTGTGAGAATTTAGAACCCTGAGATGCCTGTGGACATGTGTGATAACAAAATGTTGGTAATAACAAGTCATAAATTGGAAATAAACATTTCCAAAATTTGAGGCGGAACATTTGGTACTGTCTACTAAATAGCTAGCTGGTATGTGTCCAGGAGGGGATACCATGGGCATTTGATTTATTTTGCTTTCTTTTGCAGGTCATTCTTTATCAGGGTGGACAGATGTTTGATGGTGCTTCCCGGTTCCATGGTAGGGTGGGATTTACAGGCACAATGCCAGCCACCAATGTCTCCATTTTCATTAATAACACTCAGCTGTCAGATACAGGCACCTACCAGTGTTTGGTCAACAACCTTCCAGACAGAGCGGGCAGGAACATTGGGGTCACTGGCCTCACCGTGTTAGGTGAGTGACAGGACGGTTCCATGCACCTTGGAATTCAAGTATGAGTCCGCTGTCAAGTATGTCTGCTTCTGCCTGCCTTCTGCACAGTCTCCTTGTGTTCCTTGCCTGCCTTTTCTCCCAGTTCGCTTTCATCTTTTTTGGCTTTGCAGTCTTTCTGCTCCTTTCTTCCTCAGAGTCTCTAAGGCTTCTCTAAAACAATGAAATATTATTCATTATAATATATTAAAATTGTGTAGATTTTTAAGTACTCTGAGTATTGAGTGCAGAGAACTACTAGAATTATGTATTATTATGATGCACATGCCTGTTAAGTTATTTAGCTGGCTCCTTGTAGCACCTGAGCTTATTTATTTTTATTTGTTAAAAGAAAAGAAGTCTTTATTTTATAGTTAATGCTACCTCCAAAGAATTATCTTGAGTTTTTTAAGAGTGTCACAGTGGCGGTGTCAAAGAGGATAAATCGAGAAGATTGTTGACCCCATCACAGCAGTTAGGATTTGAGATTTTTGTTCTTCCTACCTTTCATTGTGTTCTCTTTTCCTTCTCAGTCTCTTTCCCAGTTCCTCTGAATAGTCTGCATTCATTTTTCATTCATTTTTGAAAGCATGAATGCATTTATTGAAAAGTCACTAGCAATTTAAATGTGTCATTACTCAGACTTAAACTCTTGGTGTCTTCATTTCCCAGTATTGAAATTTTTAGCCATAGGGACTGGGGATTTAGCTCAGCGGCAAAAGCGCCTGCCTGGCAAGTGCAAGGTCGTGAGTTCAGTTCCTGGTACCGGAGAAAAACCAAAAAAAAAAAAAAAAAAAAGGAAACAAATGAAATTTTTAGCCATGGGCTTAGATTTCTGTAGCTTGCTTTTTACTAGTGTAAGTAATCGCTTACTTACCTTTCTTACTAGTGTTCTTTTCTGATATTTATTTTCCTTGTCTTTTGTGTTTTTAGCTATGTGAATGATTATAATGTCTGATTAGAAAACACATTACTGGATAGTCATGTCCGGTGCATTACTATCAATTTTATCCTTACTTAACATTACTCCCACCTTAACATTCCCTGCCATGAAACAATTTGGCATAAAATATGCCCATCTGTTTTTTTGTTTGTTTGTTTGTTTGGAAAGTGATGAAAGCCTTGCTAAGGTTGTCTTAGCCAGAGGTCAGCTGGCAAGGTGGGCTTCTGTTCCTTGAAAGTGTTTCTAAATACAGACTTCCAGCAGTGTTTTTAAAGGCAGCATGTTGCATGAAGGACCTTAGGATTTGTTTTAGAAGAAGCAGAGTGAATCCAAAACTGTAAGTTATCCTGAAAATATAATGCACGTGTGTAGTTCTTTTACATATTTTCTTCTATAGACTAAAGTGGCAGACCCTGTGCACCTTTGCAAGCCATTAGTGCATGGTTGTCCTCTGGCTTCAGCTGTGCAGTTGTCTCCTGTGTGATCCTAAGTCAGTGTTACCCGAGGTCCCAGGGTGCTGAGTACTGATGTCTGCTTCCTTATCCCTTGGCTCAAGTAAATGTGTACCTTACTGCTTCCTTTTCTTATTGTAGTTCCCCCTTCTGCCCCACACTGCCAAATCCAAGGATCCCAGGACATTGGCAGTGATGTGATCCTGCTCTGTAGCTCAGAGGAAGGCATTCCCCGGCCAACTTACCTTTGGGAGAAGTTAGACAATACCCTCAAGCTACCTCCAACAGCTACTCAGGGTATGTATAGTGCTGGGTATGTATACCCTCAAGCTACCTCCAACAGCTACTCAGGGTATGTATAGTGCTGCTTTATCGTTTCTACTCATTATTGGGGAGCATTGTAAGGTTCATTAAATAATCAACTTTAATAGAGTTCATAAAAACTATTTGTATGTGCTCAAAAAGCTTCACAAGTCATTTTGTGTTTTCAACTTGAAAGTGATAAAACATTTTCTTTCCCTTCTCTATGCTGCCTTTATGAAGTACTGCTCATCCAGCACCATCTAGAGCAGAAAACCTGTTCTGTCAGGATGAAGATGTAAAATAGCTAAGAGATAGCTTCTCTGAGTTAACTCTAAGACAGATCTTGACATTTTTGTCTGAGAACCCACTTCCTCCTTGCAAAACAGCTGTCTGTTTTAGTGTGAGAAGCATCTGCATAGTTGCAAAAGGGTTGATCCTGTTTCCACTGTCAAGTCTGCTTAGAGAGGGAACACAGGAAAGAGAACAGGAAAAGGGCTCAGATCCCAGCAGATCCAGGGACTGGTCACACCAGACAGGTAAAGATGAGGCGGCCTAAGCGTCATGGAAATCCATCTAATTACATTTGGCTTTGAGGAAAACATTGTTGAACATTAAGGAAATTTCATGAAATGGAGGGAAAAGGTAGAATTACTATAAAACCTTCTGTTTCAAGAAAATATAACATCCTCATTTGTTGCATCTACCCCTAATACAGAGAATGGCCTTTGTAGTATTCTCAGGGCAGATTTACAAATGTTAATTTAATATGAAGAGTTGGTATTAACGTAGAGGCCTGACTCAGTCTTAATTAGACCTAGCTTGAGTCATGTTGAAGGTCCTTGTCTCCCAAGGAAAAGACCCAAGTTGCTTGGTGGATTTAGATATAGTAAAAGTCTGGGGCTCAGAGCCTATGAGGAGCCTGTAAATTTCTTTAGTCATTACAGAATATCAATGGACATTGCTATCTGCTTTTAATTCATCTATCCCCAAACTCATTATTTAAAAAAACAAATTTTCTTTAACCTGATAACTTGGGTTATTTTCATAATGACTACTGCAATAGTAATGTTCTCTACTGATTGTTCATCACTGAATGTTTAAGCCACACTGTGGGCTAAATAGCTCTTCTTGTAGACTGACTTGTACATCTCACCATTGTAAGTGATATACTTAAAATAGCTTGTCTTGAAATGCTGAAAACTATATTCAAATTCCAGATTTTCCAGTAACTATTTCTGTAACAGAGTTACTTTTATTGTAAAATAAAGGGGTTAAAATATCATTTTCAACATCCTCAGATTCCCTGATTGGCACTTTGTAGTATTTCTGTGGAATAATGGATAAAATTGGAATTACAAATGAACATTTATCAATGATTGGTGTGTAAGGTATGAAGTACTTTAGAAAGAACTTTTCATACCTCTGTTTCTAAATAAGTATATATCTGTCGTATTTCTTATATGTGCTGCCGAAGCGAGCAATCTGTCGTATTTCTTGGTATTCTTTTTGCAACTGGAATATTCTTTGCTACTTTAATGTAAAAGTGAACTTGAAGGGCAGGGATGAAATTTTTGTATTTTATAATTCAAATTCTGGATTCATTATCAGAATTACTTTGAATAACCTTACCTGTCATAATAATAAACATTAAATGAGTCAGATTTTAAATGTAAATTCACTTCTCAGTGAGTATATTAATGTTAGATTTCAGAATAACATATAATTCCAAAATAACTTAGGTTTTTTATTTTCCAGAAAATGTACTAGTCTCAGCTATAAGTCAAATGTGACAGTTCATAATGACTTCCTAATAATTACAAGTTATCCATCTAACTGTAAAAATGTCCCCATTACAGAAATGAAGTAAGGGAAAAATGGAGTAATTAGCACATAGGTTAAGCAGTGTCCTATGGGTTAGTTCTTGGTAACAGAGAACAATGCTCTTGCATTCTTATAAGGACTACACATCAGGAAGTAGGCACTTCTCACGTCATGCTTCGTCATCTCCAGGCTTTTGTTTGTATCAGTGTCCTTTTCTTCTTTCAAGTGGTTTTATGTAAATGTTATTTTTTGGTTTCGCAACCTGATTCTTTTAACTAAGAATATATTAAGGGCCATTTCCCAAATCATGAAAATTTATTCTTACAGCTCTGTTATAGGAATCTATTGTTATATATGGCCCTCTATTTTTGGATATTTAAGTTACTTTGAAGTTATAACTTTACCTGAATATATTTCAGGAGTTGGTTCTATAATTTCTGTAAGAGGTTTTGTTTTGTTTTGCTTTGTTCGTTGGAAGCGGGGATCAAATCCAAGGTCTTACCCATGCTAGGCAAGTGCGGTACCACTGATCTACACTCCAGCCCTAGTAAGAGGTGTTTTAAGTTATTTCTGTTATTTGGTCTAGAATTTTAAAAATATAGTGTAATTTGTTTTAAAAATCATATAACTCTTTCCAGAGAATTTACTTTACAGTACATTTCTCTAACAGCAATCTACACTCCACCTACATTAAAATCACCTAGGAGGCTTTTAAAAATGTTCATTCCCCTTCCTCTCCTCCAGACATTCTGATTGTAATTGGTCAGTGGTAGACTCTAGCATGACTATTTTTAGAAAATATTCCTAATGTGCATCCAGGGTGGGAACTGCTTTGATAATACATTTATACTCCAAGAAGGACACCTATCAAGTAACAGCGGTGAGTTTGTTTTTTCTCCAAACTATACAGCCACTTGGCAACCAGGGTTTGAAATAAGAACAGTTGCTTTTCACAGTGGTTCAGTAAAACTTAAACTCCAAGAGAATCTGAGGGAATTTAATTAGGAAAAACTCCTTTTTTAACTTAAAGTATAAAGAAGAGCCTTCACAACTCCGAAGTACAGGGAACCTTAAAATCAGTCTTTAAAATTAATGTACATAACAGCAGTTAATCTCCTATATTCTTTTGCCTTGGTAAATATAAGGTCTAATATGCTTATTTTATTCTTAATGGTTAGCAGTTTGAAAAACTGACTTGTACATTTTTCTTCATTATTCCTAAGAATCGCATTGTCCTCCTTCTTCTGTAGTTTAATATGGTGGAGGGAAACGATGCACTCTGCGAGCTGTGAACGCTGGGCAGAGTGTCACTTGGAGAACGTAGCCTGAGCGGGAGGCTATCGTAAGAGACCTGGACACCAGCACTGTCACCTTTCAGAGAAGGCTGAGGCCCAGAGAGGATACTGGGTTTGCCCAGTTTTCAGCTGGTTTGCCTGATTTCCAGTCCTTTGCTATGAAGACTTAGGAATCTTGATTGTCACTTATGAACTGCCAGTTCTATTTCCCTCCACAGTGAGTGCGTTCCCATAATTTTCTCAGGGGAGCAGAAAAGTTTCATCACTTAAGTTGTTAAATAAATGTGTAACTTTTTCTGCTTCATCAACATGTTATTCTGACCAGACAAGTCTTTCCTCTTCCTTTTTACCCTCTGATGTAAAGAAGCACATCCCAGGTTATGCTTAGTACACCATCTTTAAAAGACTAAATGTCAGCAATATTTTTTGTTTGTACATTCTTTCATCCCTTTAAAACACACATGTGTCCACACACATAAATAAGGACACACGGTCCTTATCCTTTGCAGCTATTTTCAGGGGAAGTGTTGGAGAAGGTAGAGAAATCAAGATTATGAAGAGATATATTTTCAACCTGGAACTCATCACCTAATGGAGAAGACAGATATACAGAGATAATAATACAACATGTTTAATGCTATAAATATCTATACAGTGTTATAAAATTGAAAGATAAGTATTCTCTTTGGAGAGTCCAGGAAGAACTTTATAGGGAGATTCCTGAGCCAAAAAGGGTCTCAAATGATGAATCGCTTGACCTCATAGAAGAAGTATTATAAATGCAGGAGACAGTTTGGCATTTTAAAATGAGAAGATCTGTGGAGCTGATATGAAAGTCTGTGTAGGTTTGGCCAGACAGGAGCACGGCAAGGTCAACTGCAGATCGTTGGTGAAAGGCTTGTGTAACATGCAAGGAATTTAGGTGTTATCTTGGAGATTGTGAGTGTTCACAGACATAGAGAAATCAAGATAGCCAGATGTACGTCTTGGAGCCAGTGTCAGAAATCAGGGTTGAAAATTGTCAGCTATCTCCTGAGAGGTTTTGGTTAAGGCTCTATGAAGAAATGAGAGGGCCTGAATTTAGTCCCTAGTGACAGTGATGGAGAAGTTACAGGGAAAGTTAGAATCCCAGAGAGATTTAAATAAGAACCACGAGTGTATGAGGCATGGTTAGTGTTGGGACAAGAAATAAGTTTTGGAGGCAAAACAAGGCATAGAGCTGCTAGCTGTGATGTGTGATTCCATGTAATGTTAGTATCAGGCTATCTGAATATTGCCTTAAGCCAGTATTGCCCAGGGTAACTTACTGGTGGTTTGTAATGTTTGAATATTTGCCATAGACTTCAGTTCTTTGTGAATGCTTTGATGACCAAAGTACAAAAAGAAGATGGGGGTGTTACCATGGAATACACTCAAAGAAAGCCAGAGACGAACAGATCTAAATCTGAATCGGAAAAGCAGTTCCTGCGTCAGTGGCAAAACCAGTAGGCAAGCAGACAAAATATTTTCATCCTCAAATGAATTGTGCAAATAGGAAGCAATATGTGTCTTTATGTCCACCTGGAAGGTGTTTGGGGGCATTTTCCTGAAGCGGACAGGTCCCCCCCACAATTCTTCCTTTCCACCTTAACTCAACCAGCATCAGCACAAAAATGAAATAGTTAAGTTTTCTCTGTGCCGAGACCAAACAAAGATCAAGGCTCCTGGATGCTATATTTACTGTCCTTTCCATTTTTCTTTAAGAATGATGAAGTTTAAATATGAATTACATGTGGTATTATCCTTAAATTTTTAAACAGTTTTTTTGGCGTTTTACATTGATTTTTTTTTTACAAGTGTTTGATCATCAGAAGTTTCAAGTGAAGATCACTTTTACATATCTAATTTTAAAGTCTATGCATTCTGAAATATGTAATTCTGTCATAATATGTTGTCTCAAATAATAGTAAACCATACATTTACTATTGTATCTTTTTTGTGTGGTGTGAGGGGTTGAATCCAAGGGTGCTGTAACATTAATTGCATCCCCATACATTTTGTATATTTTGAGAAAAGGTTCTGTAAAGCTGCCAAACAGGACTTGAACTTGCAATCCTCCTCTCACTTTTTTTTTTTTTTTTTTTTTGGTTTTTCTCCGGTACCGGGAACCGAACTCATGACCTTGCGCTTGCCAGGCAGGCGCTTTTGCCACTGAGCTAAATCCCCAGCCCATCCTCTCACTTTTGTTATGTCTCTTTTAAACAGAATATGTATGAGACTTATATTAGAAATGATTCACTGTTGATTATTGCAGTTGTTCATTATTATTTAAATAGGTGAATAATGAAAATATGGAGTATTTTGTTATTTATGAATTCTTGTCTTTCACCCTCAAATCCCTAAGATTAATGTTTTTCTGGACTTTGCACATATGAGATCTTTTTGAAATTTCTTAACGGATCTTTCTTATTCAGAAAAATATGTACATTTTCCAGGAAATTAATGGGAGAAATTCTCACATGGAAACATTACTAGGTACTGTACTGAGCTCTTTACCTTGCATTATCCCTTTTGATTCTCACAATAATCATGGATGCATGAGCACTTTGGTAGCTCCATATTACAGATGAGGAAGCTGAAACATAGATGAAGAGCAAGTAACACCACCAAGACCACATATATAGTAAGAGATTGCACAGCTTTAAATCCAGGCCGGTTGACTCTGGAACATACGCTGTTAGCTCGTGTAGCACTGACTAAGCGGCCAGAAGTGAGATTCTAGAACTCATGAGAAAGAATGGAATTGGAAAGATATTCTGAGATTGGTTTCTTTCTAATTCTGAAGGGCATTCCAGCCAGGTATACAGCTTGTGCCAGTACAGTGCTGCTGTGAACTAAAGCAGCAGGGTTTGGTGTCCTTTCAGCTTTCTAAACTATGCAGTTCCACACAATTGAACTTTCCCTGTTCCTTGAAAGGAAGCGGATCAAAAGAACATGTATTCTCTAATTTCATTTCAGCAAGTCACTTCTGTCCCAGAGCAGGCCCAGTGAAGTGACAGCGCGGGGAATTAGCCCTGCCAGAGTCAGGAAGGGCTGTGTGCTCTGTGGCTGCAGACTGGTGTTTGCTGAATAGTTGCCCCCATCCCTGCTTTGTGTTGTCTGCATAAACAGGCCTGTTTAGTTTCTGGTTAATTCTCTCCTATCAGTGTGCCTGTCTCCTTCCTTGATTACATTCTGAGTCAGCCCCGTCACGGTGTGTCAACCTCGTTTAATCACACTTTCTTCTAGCAACGTGCACATGGTGTCTGCATCTACACAAACAGCGGGAGAACAGTGGGTGACTTTACCTTTTAAAAGTAAAATTTTAATGCAGAAATCTTTCACGTTTACCCCTTTGTAATACCAGAATACTGCTTAGAAAAAATTTCCCAAATTGTCTCTGTGGAAACATCAACAAAATTACTGGTTTGTTGTGAACTGATCAAAATTTTAGAATTTGAGGGATAAATAAAAAAAAAAAAAGACAAGAAAACAACAGTATGTGGGATTGTGGGGTTAGCTGACCAAAGATTATGGTTTTCTAGCGTGATGATAGTAGGACATGTGTTGAAGAGGGAGTTAGGCAGATGGCTTAGTCTGTAATATTAACAACATCAGAACACTGCGTTGTTGGAAAATATCCCTAGATTCACTATAGAGAACAACATAATTTTAAATGTCTGTTGGAAAGCCAAGTGTACATCTGGTAATTTTGAGCTTTGGATTTGGACAGATCGGATTTCATAGACTGCTGCTACCTGTGTACTGTGTGATCTTGGACACATTGCCTAGCTACACTGAGGTTTCTCATCTTTGAAAAGAAAGGCAAGCAACTGCAGTAAGCGGATGAAGTGCCTGCTAGGGCTGGAGAACACAGAGAGCTAGAGGAGCACATACAGGTGGTGTCTAAGGAGGATCTGGGAAATCAAAGAGCACAAGGCAGGAGAAACCCACTGCTCCCAGTGGGGCCGCCCAACAGGGATGGCCCCAGAGTCTTCTGTTTTTATTTTATGACTTGGAGCCAGTCATGAATGCAGTGCATTCTGTCGTGTTAGAAGGCTTAGGATGGCATAGAGGGCACTGATGTGTGGGGCAGCTTTCAGTGAATTCACCAAGATACTTGGGCCAGCCGCACCAGTGGTTTTCTTCCTCCCCCTGTTCTGATGATTTCCCAGGCACTCATTAGACGGCCTTCCTGTGTCTTCCCCAGCACCCTGAATTCTCCGGTCCTGACTGGCACTTAGCCCGTGTATTATAATTGCCTGCCTTCTTGTCTCCTTAAGGTTTGTCCTGTTCATCATTGTAGCACCGTCTTCAAAAGTTACCCAGCATAAAAGATGGCACTCCAGTGCTCGCTTCGGCAGCACATATACTAAAACTGGTTTGTTTTGTTTTTGTTTTTGTTTTTTCTTCCGGTACTGGGAATTGAACTCACAGCCTTGTGCTTGCCAGGCAGGCGCTGTGCCGCTGAGCCAAATCCTCAGCCCCCTAAAATTGGAATGACACAGAGAAGGTTAGCATGGCCCCTGCGCAAGGATGACACGCAAATTCGTGAAGCGGTCCATATTTTCTATCATTTTGCTTTGAGGTCATGTATTGTCTTTGTTGTTTTTGTGTTGTTTTGATTTTGTCTTCATTGTTGCTGTTTTGTTTGTTTTTTTAATCTTTAAAATAAAAAAATAAGATGGCACTCCACACATATTTGATATTAAATGGAGAAATTGATAAAGGTGTGCATGTTCTGGCCAGACCTGTTCTTGTTGACTCCTATCTGCTTCTGGCTTTGATTTAGATAAAGATGAAAGCTGCCAGCAGAATCCAGATAAATGGAACTAAATCTTAGTTCCATATAAAAATAACAGCCCAGAATGGGGCAGTTCCTAGTGTGGTGTTAGCATGCTTGTAGTATATGCCAGATTTTTTTGTTTGTTTGTTTAGTCTTGTTTTAACCCCTGCCATTAGGAGACTTTTCTGCTTACTTGTGAACAAGTGTGCAGCTATCTTGAGTGGCCGAGATGACAGCATACACAATCCTTCCTGCCACAGGGAGGCAGTAAGACCAGAGTCAAGAGGTGAGGCAGCCATCTACCCAGTTCCAGTTTCTAATGAGCAGCCATGTAATCTTATTATCCATCTAAGGCTTCGGTCTCTATCTGTGTTCAAGAGGATTAATAGTAACACTACTTCACAAGGTCACCGTAAAGATTGATATAGTATATATAAAAGTTTACCTGGTGTCTGATGCATACGTATAATTGTTAACTTTGCTTCTTCTTATTGCTGCAAGTCATTTACATTTTATAGGAATAATCAAACTGTGCTTATATTGATGACTTATTAACAAGCAAACTATAAAAACATTTCTTGGTCATATCATGCTGTGTCCTTGAAAATCCACTGCTCCAGCCTCCTGCTGTGGGGAACGTAATGGACTGACAGCGCCAGCTGCCTCCCCTCTGGATCCACCTCTGCTTCTATCAAGGCCCAGCTCCTAGTGAGGGTTGGGACTCAGTGGAACTACTGAGGCAGGCCTCTTGCTGCCAGGCATGGGGCTCCTTTAAGGAATGACTTTGGCCCAAGGAATCTCTTTGTCTCTGGTAGAAACTTCCATAATCCTGGGCTGTAGTACAAGACTCTTCCTATCCAGACTTCCTTCTTCTCTCCCCTTCAGAGGTCAGGCCTGCGTCACAGTCTATGGATCTCCCTGCTTTTCTAGGTTTCTTTGCATTTCTTTTACTGATGTTTCCTCTAAAAAACCTCATGCTTGTCTTAGTACCTGCTTCTTGGATAATCTGAGCAAATGCAGCAGTTGTAATAATTGTTGGAAAGGAGTAATAATTTGTACCCTAGATCACAAAGCCGACTTTTTCTCCATCAAGTTTAAGGTGGATATTATTATAGAACCCAGGTTGTCCTTTATGTTACTGCACTTTTTTAGAATTAAAATTTCATGTTACTGATTATAAATTCTCTAGGACATAGGTTAGCCACCCTTGCCTCTTGGAAGGTCACTAACATTTAAGACATAACATGCTAATCTGCAAGTTAAATTTTAAGATTGTCCCTATTAAGGGCAGTCCTTAATAATTAAGTTCCAGATTTTTAACGTGTTATAGTGATTTTAATCTTTAAATTGATGCACCAAAGATCTCTTCCTACCCGTCAAAAGAAGAAAATGAGTAATTCTTCAGTATACCAATTTATTTCTATAGTCTAATGTTCTGATTTTATTGGTTTTCTTATTCATTCCATCAAACCCTGATGTGAATATTTTGCAACAGACCAGGTCCAGGGAACAGTCACCATCCGGAACATTAGTGCGGTGTCTTCAGGTCTGTACCAGTGTGTGGCTTCCAATGCCATTGGAACCAGTACCTGTCTTTTGGATCTTCAGGTGATTTCACGTAAGTATATGGAATTACAGTGACAACTCTAGGTGTGAAATGCTGAGATCTTTGTTAAACAAAGGGTTCTGCTTAATTATTTAGAGGTTTTCTGAAGATTCAATAGCAATTCTTTGGTTTTAATCAATGTTGAAAATATTGTTATAATATTTAGTCAGTGCAAATGTATCAGTGTGTTTTTCAAGCCTCAGGATTCTGATAGTCTTTGTGGCAAAATATCTCTGTCTTCAAGGTCATTAGAATGAAACCTGAGTTTATTTCATAGTGCCCTAGCCATTTGTAATGATCTTATAGCTATGGAAAGACTTTTGGGGGGGATTCCCCTAATATCTCCTTATCTGCGTAATTGTTGAGTGGTTATAAATACTGCGACACTTTCTCTTTAGTTGAGAATTCTGGGATATTAGAATTCTAGTTGCAGAAGGGACCCTATGTCTGTGAGGAGGCTATAAGACATGACACCAAGGGCCAAGACTCACTTGGGACACTCAGACAAGTTAGACACCAGCTATTCCCCTTAACTCCAGCTGCTTCTTTCCTGAGGCTGTGAGAGGTGTTGAATGGTTTATTCACTCAGTAGATGTGGAGAACCTGCTACTGCCCCTGGGGATAGAGAAAGTTTTCCAGGGTTTAACTTAATATGGATGCAATACAGTAGACAGTTTTTTATGTATAAACTGGTTTACATATGTTTACACAGCTGTGTGGGTATAAAAAATTTCTCGCTCCTTTCTTTAAATGTACCTTAAATATATTTTGCAGCCCAGCCCAGGAGCATTGGACTTATAGCTGGAGCCATTGGCACTGGTGCGGTTATTACCATTTTTTGCATTGCACTGATTTTAGGGGCATTCTTTTACTGGAGAAGCAAAAATAAGGAGGAGGAGGAAGAAGAAATTCCTAATGAAATAAGGTTTGTATGCCAGATAATGTGCTGTGCTTAGCCAATGCATATTTCTGTTCATTTTGGCAGTCAAGGTTGCTTTGCTAATCTAATTGCTGTGATAGTGGCCAAATGCTATTTTGTGGTATGTTATGTTGCTTTTCCTCATAGTAACACTCACCTGTGTTCAGTGACTCATGAAAACCCCAACATGTGCCTGACTAAGAAGAGACAAATCCAGAATTCCACTACTTTTTCATAACTCTAGAGTTTTGGTGACTCCCACAATCAGAAAGTTAGTTTAAAATATGTGTGCCCTTTATAATAAGAACATACAACAAAAAGAAACACTCCCTGTTCCTCTGCATAGGCATAGCTATGTGGCTTGATGGGATTTTCATCATTGTGGCAAAATACCTGAGGCTGGCTACCCTGTAAACAAAACAAGCTCATTTTGACTCATAATTCTAAGAGGGGCAAAGCCTGGGTCCCTCACCAGGTGATGGCCTTCTTGCTGGCAGTCTTGAGGTAGCGGAGAACATCAAAAGAGACAGGGAGTAAATGTGTCTCTTTGGGTTCTCTCCTTTTTATGAAGTTGCCATGGGTGCTCTATCCCAATGACCTGAGTTAATCGTAGTCACTTTCCAAGGCCCCACTTCTGAATGCCAGAGTTCATCATGAAGTTTTTACTCTCAAAGGACTTCACACTGGTATCAGACTTCAATGCAGGACTCCTGGGGTGCATTTGAACTATAGAAAAAAATCATAGTTCAGACAAGAATAGGAACACCTCCAGAAAAAGTGTCAGGATGATCTTTAAAGAAAACGTGAGTGTTGGAGTATTGAGAGTATTGTGGAGATGTGAGAGTTCAAGCCTATTGTAGCCTATCAAATGCTTCTCAGACTCATCTTTGCAGTTAGACTTACACAGCCTTTTAGGCTTCCTGACCCTCACCTGCTCACCTCGTCTTCTCTGCTGCCACACTACTTACTCTGTGTTCCAGTTTGTCCTGCATTCTTCTTTGCCTCAGGATCTTTGCTCAATTTAATGCTTCCTTTGCCTTTCCCTTTCATCCCAACTCTTCACTGAGTCCCTTGATTGGATTCAAGATTTAGCCAAGCATCCCCTCCTTGCATAAGTTAGCTCTAGCCCTGCCAGACTTTCCAGATACCAGTGTTCTTTCATTCACTGTCACCCCCCCACACCTGACTTCTTAGATTTTTTTTGCATGAAACATCTAGTAGCATGTACTCAAAAAATTTTAAATAAGTGAATTAACATCTAATTTAATAACTTCTTTAGTCTCTTGTAACTCTTTAAGAGTTTGGGCTATACATAGGAATAGAGTCTATCCCTGAGTAACATCACGGCAGAAAACGTCTCATCAGCAGACCACAGTGATTTCTCAAATCTAAAACCGTGAAAGCCAGACAACACTAATCATTCCCTGAAGTTGTCCATTGTCTACAGCTTGGTTTTCTAGCAGTTTTATGGCAGCTAACTCAGTGGATTTCTTTGTGGACTATTTTCCTATTTACTGGTAAAAGATACACATATATTTATTGGCAAATTATGTAGGTATGTATATATGTAGATATGTGTTTCGTTTATATTAGAAGAGACTGTCTTTGAGCAAGTTGATATTTCCTCTTGGGGATAAAGCAGCTGAGCAGAGGTCTCACTGACAGTGGTCTCACAGGAAGTGAGTGCCAAAGCAAAGGCCATTCATGGCTGCTACCTTTGCTTCATAGTAGAGGGTTGGGGTTTTTTGGATGTGAAAAGAAAGAGCCTTGGGGAGGAGAGTAGGCTAAACCTCAAGTAAATCCTAATGACAACTTAAGATTTATTTCTTTTCAGAGAGGATGATCTTCCACCTAAATGCTCTTCCTCTGCCAAAGCATTTCATACGGAGATATCCTCCTCAGAGAACAACACACTGACCTCTTCCAATACCTACAACAGTCGCTACTGGGGCAACAACCCAAAAGTTCATGGGCACACGGAGTCCTTCAACCACTTCAGTAACTTGCATCAGTCTTTCTCCCTCCACTCAGGCAACACCCATATCCCATCCATCTATGCCAACGGGAACCATCTGGTCCCGGGTCCACATAAGACTCTGGTAGTGACAGCTAACAGAAGCTCATCACCACAGATCATGCCCAAGAACAATGGCTCCGTCAGCAGGAAGCCCCAGCCTCCACCCACACACTCCTACACCATCAGCCAAGCAACACTGGAGCGAATCGGTGCGGTACCTGTCATGGTGCCAGCCCAGAGTCGGGCGGGATCCCTGGTATAGGACACAAGAGGATGTTGTACTCAGAAAAGAACAAATGGAATGCCTCTGTACAAGGGTAAGAGTGGGGTGGGCAAGTGCTGGGAAAGATACACTTTCCTTATCATTCTATTAGTAAAAGCACAAAAAGAAGGCAGTGCTGCTTCCTGGCCACCAAGCTGAGTCACATGGACTGGAGTACTCTGTCACAAAGAAGAAAGAATTGTTTCCCCGCCACAGATGTTCTGGGATTCTGTTCCGATAGCTGCATCTCAAAGATGTGCCAAGCCAAGGAGAAAGATCTAAGAGCAGCATAGCACTTAAAACCTGCACTGCAGCCCAGACGGACTGCTTCTTTAATTCATGCCTAACTTGATAATTTTCAAGAGACTAAAGTGCCAGATGAGATTTAAATAATAAAATTATTTAAAAATACAGGTGTCCTTAGGAAAACGGTGAGCAACCCTGTGATGTGTTCTGCCCCTCCCAACTCCCTCATTAGGTAGGGGGCTTCGTGGCATAAATGTTTGATACTGACCCCAACAGGGCTGGCTCTTTTATCACAGAATCAAAACTTTTTTACATGAACAAAATGCCATGAGAAATGGGGGGGACGACAAAGGAAACTTCTTTGAGAAACTCCTCCAGATTTATTTATTTATCTCTTCCTGAACCATGCATTTCATATTTGGAATTTTGCTGTATTGGCAGATTCTTGCCTGTCTGCGTTATTCTGGGATCTGTTGCAGATCCACGGCAACTTGTGCTCATTATTTCCTGGGAAAATCTTTTTAAAGGAAAACTGTTTTTTTGTTGTTTTTTTCTTTTAAATACATGAGAGGCATAGGGCTAGGAAAGAAAAGACCCAGCACCTTGTTCAGCGGTTGTATTTAGCGAGCCCGGGAGGAGGCGTTACAGAAGGGCTAGGTTATATGGTCAGAGGCAGGCAGGCAGCTGTGAGAGACCCTGGCCTCGCCTGGCAGGATCCGGAGGAGTGCAGCCCTGTAGGGCCCTTGTGTTGTCTATCAGGGTGCTCTTAGGGCGGGCAGCACCTGATGGCTTTTGACAGGCAGAAGTTAGTATGTTGTTACAGGAAGGGCAGGGATAGTTTGTTTCAGAATAATTCTTTTTGCAAAAGAGATGAAACAGGAAATGGGGTGTCCCCCAGAGTGTTCCTGGGAGGGTCTGCCCAACCAACACTTGACAGCTCAGGTTTGCAATTTTGCCCAAATTATTTTACAGCACTATGAAGTGATTCCTTTTGTTTCATTATCTGGCTTGGCGGGCCTTGAAGTTCACCAGATTCATTTACAAGCTCCCCATTCCACTTTGTGCTATGAAGATCTGGCTGTACTTGTGTTAGTGACTATCTCGCCTTAATCACACTTTAACCCGTAAATGATTTCTTCCCGCATTTATTTCCTGAGCTATTTATAATACTGAGCCCAAGGTTCAATAGGAGCATCTTTCCTTCCCTCAGGTGCTCTTACTTCCTGTTCACACCATGGGTTCTGCCTTCTTTTCCTGCAAGCATAATCTCCACGGGGAGTGGCCACCCCTCGTCTTCCCAGTTACTGAACTCAGTGCAGACAAACAGCTGCTGCAAACGCTGTCTTTCCAAAAGGGCCACGCTCAGAACCTAACCATTGCAACCGTTTTTATGTTGATAAAAAGCTGAATTTATCGTAGCAGCACTTATTTTTTCCATTTGACCTTGACTTTGTAAAAAATTTAAATAAATGAATGTCTATACTTTTTATAAAGAAAAGTGAAAATACCATGTCACAGAAAAGAGGCTATCAACTGTTGTTTAGAAAGCATTTATCTTACATTTCTTTATTCTTTCTAATTATCTAAAAAAAACAATAAAAAGTTTATTCATATAAAAGAAGTTGTCCTTAATTATAATGCTGATGGATGTGTGGTTTTATTTAGTTTCCTTTAATTTTTATGCAATTTTTCATTTGTGAAATAGTCATAATGAGCATGTAGTAGTTGAAAAATTCCTTCACCTTTCTCTGTTAGAAATTTAAGTTGATTCAGTTTCTCACACATAAGGCTGAAGTGTCATGATCGTCTTCATCCATTGATCTGTTCTCATATGTCTTAGTCTGAAAGTTCATGAAGACTGGGTTTGTGCCTGCTCTTTTATTCATGGAATCTCTACCACCTACCACAGTGCCTACTGCAGTGTCGAATATATAAATGACTGATAATGTCTAAACTGAAATTGCCCAGCCAGGCTATAGGTATGATTGTAGTCCTTGGTATATTGGATTACACTTTGCTAGAAGAAATGTAAAATATTGTTTTAATTTTTTATTTTCAAATAATGTTTACATGCAGCTGTAAGAAATAATAGGGAGGGGCGGGCTGGGAATTTAGCTCAGTGGCAAAGCGCCTGCCTGGCAAGCACAAGGTTGTGAGTTCGATTCCCGGTACTGGAGAAAAAAAAAAAAAAAAAAAAAAAAAATCATAGAGATCACAAGTACCCTTTACCTGATTCTCCTAACAGTGACATGTTGTGTGACTTGTATAATTTTACAAATTAGTAAGGTTAAGATTCGTCAATTTTGTTTAGATTTCAGCTCTTGTGCTTTCATACTGTACATGTGTGCACATTTAATTATATGTGGTTTTATCATGTGTGAATTCATGTGACTGTGACAGCACTTGACATTTAGTATGCCATGGGCTGGTCTTTCACAGTCTAGCCACTTTTCTCCTTAAATCCTCAATCCCTGAAAATCACCGCTTTGTTCTCCATCTCTATAATTCTGTCATTGTAAGCATGCTATATAAATGGAATGATGTGTAACCTTTAAGAACTGGCTTTTTTTTTTTTCCACTCAGGATAATTTACTTGAGATCCATCCAAGTTGTTGCATCTATCAATAGTCCTTTTTGGGGCTTGGGATTTAGCTCAGTGGCACAGCACCTGCCCAGCAAGCACAAGGTCGTGAGTTCGATCCCCGGTACTGGAAAAAAACCAAAGAAACAAAACAAAACAAAAATAGTCCTTTTCTTCATATAGCTGGGTAATATTCCATGATATGGATGTATTGCAGTTCTTTTACTCATTGAAATATGTAGGACTTATGAGTTGTTTCTAGTTTTTGGTGATTATGAGTAAGCTGATGAAAACATATATAGCTAGGTTTCCATATGAACTATGTTTTTGTTTCATTGGGGTAAATGCCTAGGAGTGCATTTCTGGGTTACATGCATACTTAGTTTTGAAAGAAGAACATTCTTTTTACCTGACTGGTTGTACTGTTTCCATTTCTTTAGCAAATATCAGCAGTCCAGGTTCTCTACATCCTCAGCTGTGTTGGGTATCACTAGTACTTTTTATTTAGCCATTTTGATATGTATATAATGATACCTGCTTGTGGTTTTAATTTGCACATCCCATTGGCTAATGATAGCCAACATCTTTTTGTGTGTTTGTGTGTCATCTCTGTATCCTCTTTGGTGAAGTGTCTTTTCATGCCTTTTGTCTGTTTTCCAGATTACTTTCTTTTTAAATCTGTTTCTGCAGTTTAGTTTTCAAAGATATTTATGTATTTTAAATGCAACTTTTTAGAATATGTTGTTTAAAATGTGTTCTCCCAATTTGTAGTTTGTCTTTCCATTTTCTTCATGGGTCTTTCCCAGAGCAGAAGTTTTTACTTTAATGAGGTTCTGCAGGAGGTAGTGACACTCACCTGTAATCCCAGCTACTGTACTTGGGAGGCTGAGGCAGGGGGACTGTGAGTTCTAGGCCAGCATGAGCAACATAGTGAAACCTTAATTTGAAAAAAAATTTAAGGAGGTCTAATTTATCAATTTTTTTCTTCTATGGATTGAGCTATTGGTATCTAGTCTTACCTGAACTTGGGTCCTGAAGAGTTTCATGTTTTTTCCACTAAATGTTTTATGGTTTGCATTTAATTCTGTGGTTTGTTTCAAATTTTTTAAATAATAGGTGATATTCAGGTTGTGGTTTATTTGTATTGCCTATGGAAGTCTGTTGGTTCTCTGTCCTTCCTGTAGTAAATGGCTTTGTATTTTTGAAAACTGCCTTTAGGAATATTTATCTGAGTCTCTAAGTTCTCTGTTGTATGGATCTTTTTGAGATGTCAACACCAGTATCCTGTTGGCCACTGTGGCTATTTAGGAAGCTCTAACAGCCAGTAAAATGGTTTCTCCCACTTAGTTTTAATTATTTGAGGTCTAATGTCTATAAATTTTGGAAAGGTGATATGTATACAAAACACTTCGCTTTTTTCTTTTTCTTTTTTTTCTTTTTTTTCTGGTACTGGGAATCGAACTCGCAACCTTGCACTTGCCAGGCAGGTGCTGTGCTGCTGAGCTAAATCCCCAGCCCCCACTTTGTTTTTTTCATAGGATTTTTGGTGAACCTATAGAGTCAGTCTGGGAAGAATATCTTTACTATGTTGAATATTCTAACTCCTGAATAGGAGCCATCTCTCCATTCACTTAGGACTTTCATTTGTTTCACCAGTATTTGGCAGTTTCAGGATAAAGATGTATGTATTTTTTTTAAATTTATGCGTAGGTATTTCATTTTTTTTGTTTGTTTGTTTTGTTTTTGTTTTTGTTTTTCTCCGGTACCGGGAACTGAACTCACGACCTTGCGCTTGCCAGGCAGGCGCTTTGCCGCTAAGCTAAATCCCCAGCCCCGGTATTTCATTTTTTAAAGAATCATGAGTACTGTACTTGAAATTTTGTTTTCTATATGTTGTTAGAAAATTAAAATGTAATTTTATTTGTGTGTATGTTTTGTAGCCTGAAACCTTGCTAACTTCATTTGTTCTGAGATGTCTTTTTTGTAGAGTCCTTAAATTTTTCTACATACATGATAATATCACCTGAAGTAGGGACATTTTTATTTTTTCATCAATCTGCATGCCCTTTATTTCCTTTTCTTACTTTATTGCCACGGCTAGCAATTATGGCACTATGTAAAATAAAAGTGATGAGTGTGATATCCTTCTTCATTTCCAGTCTTCAGGGAAAGTGTTTGCTCCTGACCAGCATATATTGTGTTAGCTATAGATATTTTATATCAATTGAGGAAGTTGTATTCTTACTAGTTTTGAGTTTCTTTTTAAAAATTATGAATGGCTATCAAGCTTTGTCAAATGTTGTTTCTGTATCACTTGATTTTTGTTCTTTAACTTGTTGATAAGCTAGATTACATTGATGGATTTTCAAATACTGAACCCGCTGTGCATACCTGGTATAAATCCCAGTTGGTCATGGTGTATGATTATTGTGAAGTTGATTTGCAATGATTTGAATGAATTTGACTTTCTAGAATTATGTAAAGTATTTCTATTTGTAATTCATAGAATTCTCTAATGAAATAATCTGAGCCTGGAGATTTCATTTTTCAGCTGCTTCAGGTTCTTTAATAGTTATAGGACTAGTCAATAGTTACAGGACTAGTTCTTTTAATAGTTACAGGACCTATTTCCTCTTCATTGAGGTTTTAGTAGGTTTGAGATTTGTGTTTTGTGAGATATTGATCCATTTTTCCAGGTTGTCAATTTTAAGAGCGTGAAGTTATTTATTTTCTTAATACTCTTCTAGTAGGAACAAGATCTGTAGTGATATTCCTGTTTAATTCTTCATGATTTGTGCTTGTACTTTTTTCATTTTTGTCAGTTTTTCTAGAAATTTGTCAATTTTATTGACTTTTCTCAGCGGAACAGCTTTTTGTTACTTTAAACTTTCCCCCATTGTTCTGTTTTTAGCATCTGTTATTTCCTGTCTTCAAATTGTTTTGTATTTTATTTTTCTTCTTGGGTGGAAACACAGATTATTGATTTGAAACTATTGCCCTCTTCTGATGTAAATATTTAAGGCTATTATTTCTGACCCATGACTGCTTTTGCATGCTATATTTTCATTTTCATTAAGTTCTACATATTTTTAACTTTCATAGCATTATTTCATTTCCTAGGTATTCACATTTTTTTGTCTTTCTGGTAATTCCAGATTGATATCATTATGGTCAAAAATATTTGATGTGATTTTAATTTTTTAAATTTATTAAGGTTTGTTTCATGGCCTTCTAGAAAAAGATTCATGTTAGTAAATGTCCCATGGGCTTTAAAAAATATTTATTCTGCTGTTTTGGGGTTGAGTGATCAATCAGCCACTCAACTACATATGTCAAACAAATTCTCTTAGATGATAGTGTTGGAAAGTTTTATAGCTTTGCTAGTTTTTTACCTAGTAATTTGCTGAAACCAGGATGGAATCCTGAACTATAATTATAAGTTGTGTTCATCATTTCTGGTATTATATATTTTGAAGCTCTCTCTTTTGGTGCATACATATTCTTAGAATACTTATGTCTTCATGGCCGATTGATCCTTGTATCATTATAAATGTCCTTCTTTATTCCACTGATTTTATTTATTCTGAAGTCTACTTTATCTGACATTAACTCTACCCACTTCTGCATTTTTAAAATTAATGTTCAAATGGTATATCTCTCCCATTTCCTATTTGAGCATTCCCACATTCCCATGTCATTGTATTTGAAGTTAATTTCTTATAGACAGCATATTGTTGGCTTAGATTTTTGTATTCACTGCCAGTATTTACCTTCTAATTGGTATATTTAGGCCATTTATATATAGGGTAATTGTTGATATCTCAGGGCTTAAATCTGCCATTTTATTATCTGTATTTTACCCTTTGTTTCTCATTATTTTTTGCTGTCCTTTTACAGGATTCCCAAACAATTTTTAGGATTTCATCTTGATTTGTTTACAGTGTTTTTCAGTATATTGCTTTGTATAGGTTTTTTTAGTGGTTGGTTTAGGTATTAAAATATTCAAACATAGTGTATCAGTCTTTTGTGTCAGCATC